ACGATCAAAATTTGAATTCACTGATTGGCTATTTCCTTTTTAGGAGTTTGTATTACCGGCACAAATAAGTAAAGCCGCATTAGGGCTAGGGTTAAGGATTGGTATTAGTAAGGTTATATAGTAAAATCTAACCAGGAATTTTTTTTATTAGAACATAAAATGTGATTTTTTAGGCAAATTTTTGAGTTACCAGCGATGTTTTAAAAATCCTTCGATCTCACATTATACAACGATTGCACCTGATTTTGCGATCTACATATAAAAATTTCCTTTTTGGGTTTGTATTACTTGCAAAAATAAGTATACACTTATCGGCACAAATAAGTAAATCCGTCGGCCCTGTTATCACGTGATCATCCGGAGTGCAACCTTGTACACATTTTCGGTATGCGTCAAATCAAATCGAATATTATTGGACAACAGCTAGTAAGATACTATTTATTTATAGCAACCAATAACTTGCATATTTTTTATTTTTAAGTCCAAATTTATATTAATGTTCCGTTTTAATCGACGAAATGCTAAGATTTTTTCTGTTGGTTAATAAACAAGGTCAGACCCGTTTTTCTAGATATTACTCGGGAACACCAATACAAGCAGAAGAGAGAGTCCTCATGGAAGCTGATATTGCGCGAAAATGTTTGAAACGAAGTGACGTTCAGGTGCAAAACTGAGTCCTATCAACACATGAAACATATCCATTATATTCACTTAATCACTTTATTTATTTTACTCGATATAAGTGTTCCATCTTTGAATATGGACAGTATAAGCTAGGTGAATTTCCCTAAATATCTTGTTTTAATACTTAATGGAAGCTGATAATTTACGCCTTGTCCCTTCTCAGCCTATAGGCGTTATGCGTCATTGTTTTTTGTAATAGGATTTGATGAGGAAGAGGTTCATAATTACATATTTCATGTTTCCTATACTCAATATTGTATTTACACATACTTCTTTGACAGAATCATCTTTCTATTTTAGAATTAGTCCAAGCTTATGTTGGTAAGTTATATATAATTGTTTTTTAATTGATTCATATTAATTCCTTTTGTTCTAATGACCTAATCGGTTTTTAGAAATATTGAATACTTATTTTGATAACGTGGTAAGTTAAATTGAAATGGTTAAATATGTTATGCATTCAATAATCTCTGTTTAATTTGTGACCTTTCTCGTTTTCTCAAAGTGTGAATTAGATATAATGTTCAATATTGAAAAGGTTCACGTTATTCTTGAAGAAATGGTGTCAAATGGTCGTATTGTAGAAACTAATAAGCACAATGTTTTAGCACCAGTTTTGGAGATGAATAAGGCTTCAAGATGAGTTTTTGCCAGATTCTAATAATAGATATTTTAAAACTTGTAAGTAGCTAATAGTAGAAGATGGCAAGGTCAGCTGTTCTAATCTTTAATTTATATAGAGCTACAGTTGTCTATCATATCAATGATGGAGCTGTTCTGTTAATTTTTTTAAATACATTTATGTTAGAACAAAAGTTCATTTTGAGTTATTATAAATCAATAGTAGGCTTGTTTTTAAATTTCTTTGCCGCTCTAACAGCGGATCTAAATCTAAATTGATCTCCATATAAAGTAAACATATGGTCTCGTAATAGAAATGTAAATACACTGTGACCTTTAGGAATAACTAATGAAAAGCAAAAAAAATGAATATATACACAAAATTTAGGATATAAGATAAATTACTTACCTTTAAGAACATTATCCTTTGTGATCAATTTGAACACATTTTCTGTTTCATGAATATTAATTCCTGTCACTCCGATATAAGAGGCACATCTTGATCTGGATACTAGAATAATTCAATATTAGATTAGAAATTATGCGTAAATGTAAGAATCCATGAAATTACCAGTTAAAATGGCGCCATGGAAATCTGCTTTCAATAGCTTTTGAACAAAAATGGTAGGACTCGAAGTTCCGTATAATTCATCAATATATTGAAGCCAAAGTTCATTCAAGGGAATAAAAAGCTCATATCTAGAATTACATATAGAACTCATATTAACTATTTAAGATAAAAACAAATCTTGTTTTACTGCTTTTACACATTCGAAGCTTAACCTATGGCATTCCTTTGGAATTTCATATATTCTTGTTTCTCTTTTCTCTTTTGCACTCATAGACTTTATCTTCCTTTTCGAACGCCTTCTTTTTTTCTTTTCATTAGAGGTTTTCAAAGGATTATCGAGTAATAAAACTTTATCCTTTAATTTTGAATCATAAACCTTAGCAGAGTCTTTGACCGTTTCCTCCAAAGCCCCCATCACGAAATTTGGTACAAATTTTTTTGTAGTTTCAGATACTGGTGGTTGACGCTATCGAAAACATCGATGAAACATAAATATGAATAAAACATTAAGATAGGTTCAAAAGGATTCACATACTTCCTTTTTGGCCTCTGGTGAATTAATAACATGTTTTGGAAGTTGAGAATATATGTTGGACATTATTATGCAATTGGTGTCTTTAAAAATCAAGTTAGAAAGGATGATAAGACTGTCTTGTGTTACAAAATTTATTGAAAAATATTTATCACGTGATACTACATTTTGTCCACATACAATTACTTTTTTCATTTAAAGAGATTAAAACATTAAAAACTAAATGTAATAACCAGCTCATAATTAAAATATAGCTATATAATTGTTTATTTTATCTTTCTGTCCCTGGCTGATACATTCAGCAATCCACAATATGTTTCTAATTTCTTGTTCTTTTAATTTTAAAAACGCGTAAAACATTGCATAATGAAATTGTTGCTGGAAAGTGAGTTTGTTAAGATGAACTTCATACTCAAAAAAATGGTCGTCTAAGGATTTGGCTTCGCTTGTGGCAGCTCCGCCAAAAGAATTTAGAGTTGTATCAAAAAAAGGTCGATATTCCTATGAAATTGCATGTTAAATGTATATCAAATACAAGTCTAGGATAAAGAAAATCAGATATCATACCACCCAAACCTCAACAATTGTCTTAACATGGTCCCTGCAATCTGCTCTTGCAAGTTTTACATGTCCATCTGGATATAATTTACCAAGACTTGGGAACAATTTTTCACGATCATCTCTCGACAATTCAGTATCGAAAGAATTTATTGTGATATTGATAGTGCGACGATCAGCTTCAAACTATAACAGAGACCAATCGAGTTCAATAAAAAACTAAAACAATTTGACATTGTTTAAATATATTAAACTACCTCCAAAATTTCGCACATTAATTCTCCTGTCACACCACCAATTCTCTTGCAATAACCATAAAAATCTTCAAGATACGCTTTATAAAGCGTGTTACGAATGATTTCAATATTTAATTCATCAATATCATTAACGGACAATTTTTGAAAGTATGGGGCTATGAAATATATACATTATTAGTCAATGTAACTTGATAATTAGAACAAAAGAATAATTTATTACCAAGAGGCGTCTCCACAATCACAGTATCGTACAAATCCGTAACGTTAGTTGCAACACAAAGTGCTGCCATGGTATCAAACTTTCCAAGTGGGTGGCATCGTTCCAGCAATTCATTAGTATCACGTTGGTGTAGAGTGCCAGTTATTAAAAGAATTACATTATCAATCATATAGGCATAACTTTTCCCGTATGAAATTAGCATTAGATAAAGCCAAATCATATTTTTAGGACTACAATCAATGAAACCTACGTCAGATAATCCAAAAATTTGGACAACGGTTGTGTCGCGTTATTATGTACATATTTAAATTCAGCGACCAATTTTTGTGTTGCCTTCTCGTGAATCGTTGAAGCAGCTATAGGAGAGGGCTCATTAGCCAGAAAGTTGCCATAGTCTGTAGCACTAAGCTGAAGTTTTAGATCTGTACTTGTAAATCCATGAACAGAATTCGAAAAGTTAATACCTAATATGACTTAGTATATATGCTCAAAATTCAATTTACCATCCAAGGTTTCACATTGCGTCAAGTTAAGATAGTGGGTGGTGTTAAGAATCGCACTCTTATAACCCCTCACAATACCTTCCAAATAGCCATCATTGACGTTGAAGTATAAGGCTTCCATAATTCAAAGTTTCGATTATTTCGCTAAAATATTTTAGAACTAGTAACCTATCAGGATAGCATTGCAAAGCTCATCCTTATTTTCACGAGTAGTACAAATTCCTTATTTGGTTCCGCCACTAATCATGTGGATAGCAAATTACGATTACGATAATCAAATTTCAAAAAGATCTAAGATTGTAATATTCAAATTTAATTATTTTTTTTTAAATATTAAAGGTGAGGCAAATTTAATTATTTTAACTTTAGAGCAATATTAAATTATATAATAAGTGTTTAACACCTAAAGGTTTTACAAACTTTAAAAGCTAATAAGATATAATATAGAAACAATATCACAAAATATTTTGTAATTTAATTAATTTATTACAATTTAATAATTTTAGTTTTTTTTAGCAATTATAATAATACTTTATTAAACTATTTGTAGTTACATATGTAATTACAAAATGTTGTTTAATATATAAGTTTACTATTATCTAAATGGTACTTAAGCGTAATCTGTTATATTAATCTAAACAAAACTAAAATTATAATTTGTTTAATCTTTGTCTTATAATAAAATATCATTAATCAAAAATATAAATCATTAACTCTTTCTGATAATTATTTGTATCAAATTTCTGTTGCAAACATTTGTCTCTTACTCAATATTTTATTAAGTAAACCACTTATGGGTGTCTAAGTAAAGTTGTTCCTAATACAATTTTACACTTAAACAGTTAAGTTTTATATCTCTAAGTTTCTTTTTAACAGAAATATACTCAATAAACTAAAAAATGTTTTTATTCAAGTTATCTCAAAATTTTACTAGGTTAACTGTTCTGATGACTTAAAGCAAACATAAAGAATTCATTTTCAGTTTTATTTTGATATATAAACTATCAAAAACAATTTAAAACTGATCGATTTATTAAAAAAATTTTTTTTTTTTTAATGTTAATGCAAGTAATTGTGACTCAGAAGTTTATTGATAATCAGTTGGCATATAACTATTGTGTACAACAGTTACAAAGGCAATCATAGAAAGAGTATACAACTAGTCACTCATATAATTTTAGTTATTGTCTATTTAAAGTAGTTCACTCGAAGGTTCTATACTAGTTACTATACCTAGAACCTGACTGTGAGTTCTTTATTTAAACACTTTAGTTCCTGTATCTACCTTTACCCTATCAACTACAGTTATTGTTGCAAATATAACATAGTCACTAAGTCATATTTAACTTTATACTAAGCCCATCAGAGTTTTCTGTATCTTATACTTACAGCTATTCTAGTATCACTCTGGCCTAGACCATCACTTGCAGTCAGGGTTAACCATTAAACTACTATACTCTTGTAAAGTTCATAAGGACTCTGATATCTTTCTTTTCTAACTTCCACCTCCTATTTCTGGACCTACAAGACCTACAAGACTTCACAAACTACCAATCCAGATGGCCTATTCGGTGAACCTAGTAGCCTGGTTAGTATATACTTCTCTATACATGTTGTTAATCGATCCATCTGAGGTTCTAGTAATCTTTTTTTGGATCTTCCGATAATTCAGTAGTACTATCAAAAATCCATGTTGCCTCTTTACTTAGGATTTTCAAATGGATTTCTGACTCTTTGGTTCTTTTGCTTTCTATATCTAGTGGTCTAATCATGGTTTTGCATTGAAGTTTTATGCAACATTGGTTATTAACATTCCTCTATGTAGGTGTAATGTTACATTTTGCATAGATGCCCTGAGCTCTCATTCGAGATGATGCAACAAAGATTACAGATACACTAATCCAACTGATCAACAAAAACAGTTACCATAACACAGACCTTATTTTCCAAAATTTGTCATCTATGGGATTTGAATTCTAGACCTGCTACTTGAAGGTTGACAATCTGACCACTTCACTAAGTCACTATACTCTTTATCAAAAAATATTTTTAAACTCTTTTACAAAACTTTATATTTTATTTTTACAAAAAATTTTTTAATTTTTTTGGAGGTTGCCTTTAGTCTGCCCTATTCAAACCCACCCAAACAAGATTATTAATCAATATTACACTATCTGAATCAATCTGTATTGTTTATAAACTTGTATTCTTTTAATTTTATATAACTTTTCTGTTTAACATCAATCTTGACTTACTTTTTTTTTTTTTTTAAAAAACTTTGGCAACAATGCCAGTTGGTTTTTATTAGCCTAATTTGATATAGTACAAATTTATGGTTACATTTTAGGATCGATTATTACTAGTACTATATACTATCTAATTTAATACTATTGACTTTATCTGGTTATCCTTATGGTATTTAAATGCATGTCCATCACATGCCTGCATGCAGTTATCTTAGCAACCACTTGCAGTCATGACATACATTAAACCACTACACAGATAAGGATACCTACTGAACTTAATGCGGCATTCCAAATGCCAGAGGTACTGTCTTCTGTAAATCATACCGATATGACTCACTCACATGTTTTACCTGGTTTTGTTTTTTCTGCCTTCTAATCCAACTTATATCTAGTATTATCATGTTCCCCACATTTTCCACCTTTTCGTCACTGTATCACTCCCAAATTGGTTCTACTTAGATATGTTTGATCCTTATAATCTTCTCATCTTTGGTTTGCCTGTTATTGATTCTCCTAAGGTGTTCCGACAATGGTCCAGGATCTATAATGAACCTGTATCTCAAGCCAGATTTGCTGCTGTCATTGGTCTTTTGACCAATCCATATCTCAAGCCAAACCTGCTGCCACTGTTTCTACAGATGCCCCAGGTCTTAACATTATACAGTAACTTGATGCTGCATTTAACCTCCAACATAGTGCTTCCTTTTATGATAGAGACTGGAACTTGTTGCACTTACAAACAGGACAATTCTGGTTATATCTAGGGAGTTTCTCCAACCCTAGTAATACCATATTACCATGTATTGCAAGCCCCTAGCTTATTTGACAATACCTGCAAGACAATTCTGATTATGACCAGAAAGTTACACTGACCTCAGTGATGCCATACTACCTTGCAGATCTTATCTTACATTGGTTGGTTGATTTCTAGTTTTGTTCATCATAGACTTCTATATAGGTATGACCAAAACCCAATTTGGTACTTTTACATTGCACAAGAAGGTTGTATGCCTACCTCCAAGATCTTCTCTTCTATAATTAGATTATTCAGCTGTGCCAGAGGTGCTTTTAATTTTTGGTTAAATCAATTCTTTATTACAGTCTGTCCTTGTGTTCACTGCTTTTCTCACCATTCCAGTTTTGGTTACTTGTCAGACTACTCTCCCAATCAAGTCCTCTTCTTGGATTCCAATTAAGACTTATTTGCACAATCCATTGATTATCCTTCCAAGCAAGTACTCCACAAGTTAGGTACAGAGATGTTGGTACTGCCTATATTGGGAGGTATAAGGATGTTGGTATTGTCCTAGCCTAAAGGACTTATATGCACAATCTTTCCATAACTATAGCCTTCTGTAACAACCACTTGTTACACATAGTGCCTGCACTTCACGATTGGGTCTTCTTTTGGGAATTCCTATTTCCATCATTGTACTGCACTTGGACTTAACCACAGGGCTTTATATTTAATTACAAGCTCTTTATTAGATTACAGAAGCTAAAATCTTTCAATTTTGCCTCCAGCCAGACTTGAACTATTGACTTTGACTGTGGAGAGTATGGGAGCTTAACCGCTAAGCTATGAGACCCACATCCCTCAATCTTGACTTACAGATTTGCAAATGTTATATCCTCTGTATAATACTTATTTAACATATCTTGTATTTGTCATATTCTCTTATTTATCACATCTTATTATTTGTTACACTTTTATTGTCACACCCTTATATCTTTCAGATCATCTTATATTCAAAATTCTAATAATCTACTTTATTTTCATCTTTTAAACAATAATGTCAATTCTTATTAATAAAAATTCAGATTCTTATAATATTGACTACTATTATAGCAAATACAAAGATCATCATAGTATAGAAATAATTGAAGAAAGACCTCAATCTCTACAAGTACTTCCTACAGATATCAATCCAATTAATTGTGATGCTTCTGTCAAAAAACATTATTACTTTAAAGTTTTCTTACAACCAACTATTGCTATATGTCTTTATGAAATATATCATATTAGTTTTATTTTTAAATTTTACAGAATTCCTCATTCTACAACTCTTGGTTTATCTACAACCCAAATTGCAACAACTATTTCCTTAAATCAATTCAAAAAAATTAGCGATGAACTTTCTGTTTTATCTAATTCTAAACAACAACAATTAGATATTTCTTCTACAAACCTTATATTCTATTTCTTGGCTTTATAGTAGATTCTATTCCAACTGCTACACTCTCAACATTATCATATATGTTTTATATATAGAATTAAAAATATCCCTTGTATTAAAACTAAACAAAGCAACCATGTACCAGACTATGCTATTTGTACTATATTCTACTATATAGGTTTTGTGCTTCTGGTCTATTAAATATCAAACTCAAATCTCTTATACAAACTTCAGCTCTAACATTTTAATAACTAATAACTACAGTCATAATTAAGTCAAAACTAATTAGTTTAAATACTCAAACCTTCTCTTCTATCTCTTACAAATAAATAATTTCTTCTCTTATTCTTAAACAACAAATCATTATTGCTCTTATTAAATTTCAACAAATGAAATCTATTGACAAAATTCAACTTTTTATTTCTTTTTATTCAAAAAAAGAAAAAAATAACAAACAATAAAAACAAAAGAAAAAAGAAAACCAACAAGATACTAGCAATGATCTTGACTAGTTCAAAGAATATCCTGTAACTGACTCAATAAAAAACAATACTAAACTTAACAACTTTATTGCCTAACAACTACTTACTTTTATTAAACCATATTTTATTAATATCTATCTAGGAAAAATTATTCAACCAGCAACTAACAAAACTTCTGAATCTGAACTTAATTATAAATATCTAGTTAAAACTTTA